TTGTCATGGCACTCATGGCGTCAAAAAGACAGACAGATAAGATATATTTTTGGTTTTCCTTATTTTCTTTTGTGACACTTTTGCATATCCACTGGTTGTAAATCCAACTTTCAAGATACACAAGAAATTTTACAAATCAGTCCAATGTGAAGCGATTTTCCATAAATTTAATGTGGCAACAATGTCGGGATTGATAACGTCGGTTTACTGTGTTATTTATACTGAAATGGGACTGAGAAAGCTGTTGGACATAGTGGGTCTGGTAACGTTGGATGAATATGGTGTTAACTTTTTTCAAGGAATAATTTTACCCCTCTACTTTTTTTTAAGTTTGTTATTGCAAAAACCATTAAATTTATTATATTATACTCGGAAAAACAGCCGGGCTTGGTAACGTCTGTTTAATATGTTGGGTTTGGTAACGACGGTTGGATACGTATATATATATATATATATATATATTTATTCCCAGAGTATAAAGTGAGCCCCTCAAAGGGAAAATTCACGGTTGAAGTGAGGTCCAGCACAAAGTGAGGACCAATATATGGACCTCACTTTGTTAAACCACTCAAATTTTACTATATGTCGATCCCACCATTATAGATTAAAATTCTACAAAAACAAGTTGGACCTCAGTTGATGAGAAAAATGATCTAAACTGTATAACTTAGTTGGGCATGTTTCCGCTTGGAGGCGCTACCTCTGATGTATATTTTCTAACCGCACGGCAGTAACGGAATCACAAGGTAGCAAATGAGGACCGTAAATGTGGCAACCTTGTGTATAGTACTTACGCACACGTTCTTATGATGTTGCCTACTGGCAGTTGACCCAGTTATTAATTTTTTTGGTACACCCCGTATCGTCATCAATTTTTTAGGGGGGATGAGCAAATACATTTTGATTAAAAATTTACCATGTTTATGATAACTTTAAAACATCTTCAAAATTTCAAAGCATTCGGTTTCGTAGTTCCTGATTAAATCAATAAAATAAATTCACGTATTCATTAATTTTTTTGAGTCAGCCTGTATACGCAAATCCAAAAAATATGAAAGGAATGGTAAATTACAAGGACAGATTCATCATTTTTTACACAATTTAGATAGGATTTATTCGGCAAAATTGTGAGCTGACGTCACGAATTTGTTGGAGGGAATAAGTAATAATTATGCGAACTTAAATGAAAAAGACATTCGTATTCTCAGATCTAAAAAGAATATAAACTGCACTGCCTGTTCTACGATTGATGTTGCTGGGCAAATTCTCGGTCTTACTAGTGTCATTGAATGGCTTCAGAAACAAATGAGTGAATTTAAAGTATTGTTGTCCTCACAAAGTAATCGACCTCGTATTTGTAATAATGACTCTTTTACTATGGATGATGTTCGGGGCGAGATTGATGAGCGTAATGCCAAAGAAAAAATATCTTTAATTTGAATGAATCTGAGTGAGCTGCCGGTGATTTAAACTTGGTGAATGATATTTTTAAACGTTTAGATGTTAAAGTCGATACTGGCAAAATTGGGATTTTTTGATTAGGGAAAGATAGGTCTGACAATAAAATTCGACCTTTAAGGACAGTGTTAAATTCTAAGGATGACGTGGGATTGGTATTAAAGAAAAGCAAAAATCTAAAAACTTTTGTGCGCAACCTCAAACTATTTATCAATAAATATTTAACAATGAGGCAACTTGGTTTGAAGAGAAAAATTATCACGGACTTTCATGATAGGACGGCTAAGGAGGAAAATATATTTTTTTAAATACTCGAATGGTATGCCTCAGATAGTTGTTGCAAAAAAACTGTAACTATCCAACCGTTTGACTTTGTTTCTATAAGATGTTATTATCAGAATGTGCGGGGTATAAGGACTAAAACTCTTGAGTTTTATGAAAATGTTCTAGCTGGTGATGACCTGGATATTATTTTTCAGAAACATGGGCTAATGATATACTAAATTCTGAATTGTTTCCAGTTGATTATTAAGTTTTTAGGTGTGATCGTGACTCAGGTATCGGTGGTGGTGTAAAATCGAGGTTTGGTTGTAAGTTAATTGAATTTGAAACTGATTTTGAATGATTACAAAGTTGATGTTATTTGTTGACGATTGCACTTTAGAGGACTGAATTTCGTAGTTATTGTTATTGTTCCTTCATTTACCCCATCCTTGATATATGAGCATCAAGTTCATAAGCTAAAATTAAGTGATTTGTTTAATGAAAAGTTTATTTTTGCGGATGATTTCAACGCTCCACTGTTGAATGAGGTAGCTTGTTCTAAATCTCTTAGTATCGTAAATTTTATTAGTTCTGTTGGTGCTGTACAAATTAATGAGGTGAAAAATGTTAATAACAGATGTTTAAGCCACTCAGAAATTACCGTAGTACGAGAAGACTCAGCATCCTGCATTGTTATTTGATATTCAATACCCATCTGGGAGATTTAAACCTTTTATAGTATCTAATTCTACATCATATAATTTTAAGAGATGTAATTTTAATGAATTGTTAGTCTTATTCTTAGTACTGACTAGGACTCCGGTTTTCAAATGTAATAATATTGAGAATGCCTGCACACATTCTATGCCATACTGAATTCTTATTTAAATCTAACTGTACCAGTTATCTGTAAACGTGAATGTTCATTTCCAGTTTGGTGTTTTTCAAAAACTAGGCGAGTCATAAGAGTTAAGAAACATTATTTGAAAATATGGAGGTCTACCAAGTCTAATATTATTTATTGTGTTAAATTTAAGAATTATCGCAAACTTGTAAAATCAAGTATTAAGACTGACCATCTTGCGATGGTATCTAATTGTATTCGAGATGATCCTAAAATACGGTGGTCGTTTATAAACAGTCTCAAGGGGCAAAGGCGTATTCTAAGTTCTATGTTAAATATCAAGGGTGATATTATTGATAGTCTCTAGAATATTTCCGATGCATTTGTCACATTTTGAGTCTGTGTATGAAAGAAATTCTGCTGTAAATTCTACATGTGAGCTACTGCCTAATTCTAATGTTAATATCTGCGTAGTAAAGGAATTTAGTGATACTGAGGTGTTAGCAGCACTTAGCAATTTAAAGAACAACAAACCCATTTCCTTCCATATGGTTCATCACCTGTCGTCCAAACAACACGGATTTGTCAAAGGAAAATCTACTGTTACTAATCTTTGTTCTTTTACGGATTATGTTTCACATCCCCGTGACAACCATTTACAGGTTAATATAATTTACTGTGACTTCTCTAAGGCTTTTGATGCGATACATGCTTTTACATAAGCTACATGTCTTTGGTTTGTCTGCTGATTTGGTTGAGTTTGTTCGTTCCTAGCTGCAGGGTAGGAAAAACTATGTTTAATATCAAGTTTTCAAATCTCGGTTATATGAACTTCCGACTGGAGTTCCACAGGGGTCAGTGCTTGGACCCTTGTTGTTTTCTGTTTTTATTGATGATGTAGTGCAGGGTCTTTTTTCTTGTAATTGTTTACTTTATGCGGACGACTTAAAAATTTTCGAACTATTGAATCTGCAATAGATTGTGAGTTACTTCAAACTGACCTTAACATGATTTATTAGTGGTGTACTCCTAACAGTTTGGTACTAAATAAAGACAAGTGTAGGGTCATGACTTTCTCAAGGAAACAGAATACCATTGTTTATCACTATGCAATTAATCAAAAAGCACTGAAACGTTGTGACACATTCTTGGTGTCATATTTGATTCCAAATTAACATTTAATAGTTATGTCGAGACGTTGTGCAAACGGTGTAACAGCATTTTAGGCTTTCTTACAAGAAGTACGCGTGATCTCAATAATCAAGCCCTTGTCAGTTTCTATAATACTTACATTCGTAGTAAATTGGAGTAATGTTCTGTTGTTTGGAATCCATGCTATAAGAATTATGCTGATTTGGTTGAAAGAGTACAGTGCAAATACCTAAAAATCTTGTATTATCGGAGGTATAGAAGCTTCGTTGAACATTAGTTATCCTTCTAATTTGTTATTGAAAGAGTTTTCGTATATATCTTTAAGCAATCGTAGGATTATGTATGAAATTGTATTTGTTATAAAATTAATTAGATATGTAATTTCTGATGAGTAGATACTTATTGGCATCGGTTAATTTACTAGTCCCAGGAATAAATAGTAAGATGACGGACACATTTTATCTACCTGTAGCGAGTATGGACCATTACGCGCAGTCACCTATACATATTATCTATGTGTAGAAGTATTAATAATTTATGTTCAGAGGTTGACATTTTCACCATTAATTTACGCAGACTAAAATCTGTTATTTTAAATAGTTTTTAGATGATTTGTGGAAGGGTGGATTATTTAGGAATCAATTTTATAATTCATATTTAATTTAATTACTTTTGGTTTATTGTGGAATATATTTATCCTGTAATTGTATAGCTGGTGGATAAATAAAATATGATTATTATTATTATTATTAAGTAAATATATTTTGATTAAACATTTATCATGCGTATCATAATTGTAAAACATTTGCAAGATTTCAAAGCATTCGGTTTTGGAAATTCAAAATTAAATTTGCAAAGTGTTGTTTTATAATTTTGATTTTTTTTCCAAAAATGTGGACGTTTCGCATAAAAACTCAATACGGAATCATAAACTACATGTGTGGAGATGATTAGACAAATTTTGGTTAGCGTTTTACCATCTACATGATATTCCTCATATAAATACAAAATTTGACAACTATCGGTTCAGTACTTTCGGGGATTATCTGTCTAATAAAAATCGGGACGGTAGACGGACAGACGAATGGACAGACAGACAAACAGACAGACGGACAGACAAACGGACAGAGAGACGGAAACGGCAGACCTATTTCTTCGTATTATAAGGGTCGTGAAAGGTCGAGAAAACGTAAAAGTAGAGAGTCGGCCGATGGAATCGATTACAATACTTCCTTCGCTTACGTTCGGGAAGTAAAAATAAGTTTATAATCTGAAATAAAATTTATTTGTTTTGGTTATATTTGTTTACAACAAAGATTTTCATTTTTTCCCAAGATTTATTGGAAAATAAATCGGGATGTTCACTTTTTAAATGGAGACATTCATTTTTCTTGGGTGGAATTTTCTTCTTCAGGTGAGTTTTGAAATAGCTTAATACCACTTCTTTTTGACTATCCGTCCAGGGCTCTAGCGTACGTTTCTTTTTCGTTTGGGAAACATACATAGAATTTTTCTTAGATGAAGTGGGTTCCTTCTTTAAATTACAGGAAAAACATTAAAATATTGTGAAATAATAAGAAATACCTATAATACTCACGTTGTTCTTATCAATCTCGCCTCTTATGTTTTGTTCATTGAAGTCATCACCTTCACTGTCGCCATCTGACTCTTCTACTATATCTAAATTGATGTTGATGTCGTCTAAGCGTTGCCCTTTATATTTCGAAGCTTCACCTTTTTCATTAAGTAGAAGTAATTTTGACACTTTGGCCATTTGATACACATCGCTAGGTAACCTATAGTAAGTTTTGTGTATTTCAGACGTGTGTCCCATGAAATTTGCTAATTGCTCCAAATCTTGTTCAGATAAATTAATTACTTGAGACATCGTTGCGAGGTGCTTTCTTAATTTAGTCGACGTCAAAGCAGCCGGATTTTTTACACCGGCAAGCCTTACATGCTTGTAAATTGCCTTCGTTCCACTGATACTACTAGAGGATTTTGTATTTGCAAATAAATATTCATTTTTGTGTCGCATAAAATGTTTCCGGACTTGCAAAAGTAAATCTGTATTTCTGACCATTTCTTCCGTAAACAGAACCGGGACTCCTCGACCTCGTTTTCCCCTTATTACAACTCTTTTGAAGGATTTCATCAGGACTTTTTCACTTTCAGTGATACAGCTATCGAATTCATTTGTACTTTTGTTATTTATATTAGCAGTATAAGAAGTTACGGTCATTCTTTGTAATTCGCCAACCCTTCTTCTATTTAGGAGAAGCAGTTGCACATAGGTTAATTCAGTTAAAGTTTTGAAAGCTTTTTCATTTTCTGGATACTCCGCGAGGGTATTTCTACATTTGTCGCTTTCAGCAAGTAGGTATGCTTTTAACAAAGTAAGATCTTCGGCTAATGGAATAAGTGAGGGTTTGTTCCACTTTTTTTGTTGTAAGTCACTGTTAGCTATGGTGGATACCTCGAACCGCCACTCATTAACAATTAATTCTTTCAAAATTTTAAATTATTTGCATCATTTGTTTCTGCTTTATATTTTTTAAGTGACATGTTGTAAGCCACGTCAATGCAGTCTTTTAATTCCGTTCCCATGTGAGATGCTAGTGATGGAGCACCATAAGAGTCCGTTTCGGCGTCATATCGGGAGATTATTTTAGTGCACTGAACAAGAATATCGAAATTTAATGGATCTAGTGCTTGGAATAAACTTTTAACCTTAATCTTTTTTTTTATTTCTATAAGTAAGGAGGCTAGTTGTCTCATTTTGCGTGAGGCAACTAATCGGAATTGTTTGTCACGATGGCTTTTCAAATACCTCCTAGCTACAGCACATATTAAAGGATCTGTTTTCGCTGTAAATGATATCTCATCTGGTCTCATCGTTGGAAATACTTCTTTTCGCAAAATATCATTCTCTCTGTAAGCAGCAAACAAAGATTGACCCTCACTTTGGGCATTGGTTCTTATGGTTTTATCATCGTTATTATGTGGACATTTTTTCACATGTCTGTAAAGAAATTTTTTCTTATAAAACCCTTTGCAATGCTTACATGGAAGGTATGCGGTAGTAGAGAGTTGCTCTAAACTATTCAATGTAGGCTTCCTTACTGGTACCACATGTTTACCAACAGCACTTTTCAAAAAATTTCCTTTGTTTCTGAGCTTGGTAAAGAGATCTTTTCTTCTTTTGCTTCGTACATTTAGCGCTAAAATTTCTTGAACTTCAATTTCAGAATGGTGATGTCGTATAACATGTCGCGAAAACTTCATGACCTCTGTATCGCAAAAAAAGCAATAATCTTTTTTATTCCATACACGTTTCTTTCTCGAATTAGGTGCCTAGTAATAGATAGATATTCATAGATATTTTAAATTAAACTATTTATAACAATGAAACACACCTCTCCTGTGTCTAAATTTTGATTTGCCTGATCGAATTCATTATTGTCAAAAAATGTATCTTCAAAATTTGGAACATTTTCAGCATCACGATCTTCGTACGTATCAGTTTCATTAGTAGTTGTTGTGACTTCATTAAACGATATTGGACAATCTAAAAAAGTATAAACTTTCATTCACACAGTAGGGATGTATTCAAGTCTCAATAAAACTTGAAGAACAACGAAATATTTAAAGTAGATATTTATAAAAACCCCATCCGAACATGGAGCATTATTTATAGTAGAGACAACTGCTTTGGGGAGACATGAAATTAATACATTAATCTTAACTGTTTCTATTTCACAATTTGTATTATTGTTCTTTATCGTCTCCCATGGTAAGAAATATCTACTTCTTTTCACATAAAGTTATATTTTTTGTAAATATTAGACTGATGCTTATAGTCTTATCGACTCAAAGACAATATTTATAAATTTATAATAAAAATATGTTATTCCTTTTAAAATTTTTGGCAATACTTACTTATATATGTAGATGTACTTGGTTGGTCTAAATTAGTTAATACATGTGTCTCTCTTCCTGTATTTTTGTTGATTACATTCTTCTTATTTCTATTCCCTCCATTCAACGCATTTTGTTTTTGTTCCTCCATATCAGACTGGCGATCTCGTAAAACACATGGTGGAAACTTTATAAAGTTTTGAAATTCAGAATCGCTGTCGGAAGATGTCTCTTCAGAATCTGGAATGTATTCTTCGCCGCTGTCTTCATAGGGTTCGGTTTCATCATCAAGAGTTGATGTAACTTCTTCACCAACAGTTGATATAACTTCTTTAAATAACTTATGGCGATCTAAAAAATTATGATGCCAATAGGTATAACTTATGTGCAGTACTCACTGGAAAGAAGTATGGTTATTTCATTTTGATCTAGTCCTTTCGTACTTTCATATTTTGGGATTTCCAGTAAATCCAAAGTACTAGCATCAGCCTTCAAAGTAGCTTTGGCCCTCAATAATATTTTCCGTGTTCTATTCATTCTAACTACAAAACAAGATTATCAATATGTATACTATTCGTATCATCATACATTACACAAATGCATTTAGCTTTGTCGAATGATGGCAAAAAATTGTTCAAATGATACTTAAACAGAATTTCCCTTGCCTGTTGTAACGGGCTTGGGACATTTTTAAATTTAGCTTTTTTTTAGTTCATCAAATGTGAAACTCTTGTCGTGGTCTTCGTGCCCGACATATAATGGAAATATTATTTGTTTGTTGATAGGTTGGTTCGTGATGACACATTCTAGTGACTGGACATAGAAAATACTAACTAATGAATAATTATATTTAATATGGAAATGACTACGTATTTCCAAAAGGAATTTAGTTTAGAGTTATCATACAATTATAATTAACAGAAATGTATTTTACTATTAAACCTTTTTGGTACATTCAAGAAAACGTTATAGGTATGAAATAAAATCTTTGAAAAATAAAACAAACAAACATTGAAAAATATATATAAAATGAGAATGTTACATAACACTAAAAAGGTAAAGAACACTATAGAAGCACGTAGTCAGCGTTCATCGAAACAATATTACTATTTAACCAATAATAATTTTAATGCAAATTAATTTCAAAAATATGAAACTCAAAACATTATCCATTCAAGAATACAAAGGGCAGTTTACAATCAAAATTAAACTCAATTTTAAAAATAAAAAACTACTTATGAAATCATGCACATTTCAGAGATATCAACACTTACCCCTAATGTAACAACAAAAACACACACTGGGCTGGCAACTAGTTAGGGGACTCTGATCTCTCATGAATCCTTTCGTCTTTTGTAAGTGAGAATCCCTCCAAAGGAGATGTTTATGCAAAATTATTTACCAGTTACCAGTCTATTTGGGGAGTCATAAAAGTATTCGTATTTCCGCCATATAAGGTTTAATTAAGTTTAATATTAATATTTTAATTGGCAAAAGTGCTATTATTCACAAATTTAAACTATAAAATTATAAAACTGGAGAAAGATATTGCATCCAGACAAGCGGCGGCAATATTTAACTGTGAAATTATAAACCTTGATTAAAGCGGTGTGAAATCATAAAATCCAGGATTCACAAGGGCATCCTTGATCTTTGCAACGATGAGGATTGTTCTGACTCATATTGATATCTCCAAAAATAAGTAATTTATCGCCCATTACACTATGAAATATAAAGTGCAATTCAAAACCATTGGACGTTGGTACATGTTTTTGAACAGTTATTAATTTTAATAAGAAGAATAACTTACTATTTTATTTGTTTTAGTGTATTATCCGTTAATTTTTCTATCCTAAGAATTATGGAGTTTTGTATATTTAATTTTTTTTTGAAGAAAATCAAATTAACTCAGACTAACGATATACTCCCATTACAAGCCTTTTGTAAAAATTTACGTTTTTTTCGGAAATCTGCATATGTAAGATTAAAACAATGAATGTATTAATGAACCTCCACATGTCCAATTTCAAAAGTAAAGATAAATTGATAAAATACATTAAAAAAAATATTTTCTTTAATTCACAAGAACATCTGAAATATTTTTTTTGCAAATTTTAAACAGAACTTACATAACAAATTTTGGATAGTGTTTTACAATCTGCGGCGCAATACTAATAAAGTATATTTAGAATTTTATAATAATCAGTCCAGTAGTTTACAAACATACTTGCATAATAAAATCGCCTACAGAAGAAACGACAAATAGACAGGCGGAATCTAGAGATACAGCATTTGTGAAATGATGTCGAGGATAAGCTTCCTTTAAGCTTAGGCTCGGAAAATAAAAATATACCATTCAACAAACAATATTCTAACAAATTTGTTTCAAGGGTACGTTATTTACAGTTTTACCATACTTACCTTTATTTTGATAATTTCAATTCCCGATTTACGAACACAACACTTCAACCCAACGCGTAAAAATGAAAAGGTTATTCGTTTGTTATGTCTAGAAACGTGTGATACGGAAAATCTTAACTCAGAAAACATGGCAACATGGTGTGGACCTTACTTTAGCATGTTCATGATTTTATACATGTGTAAAGGTCCTCACAGTGTCTGCACTGAGTAACGAAATATACGATTCTCACATTAACAGAAGAATGGTGCAGTCCTCACTTTGTGATAATATACTCGTAAAAACAAATTTTGCCGCCTTTCATTTTCCACGTGTATATTGGTGCTTCCCTTAGCGCCATCTAACCAATAAAAGTTATACCAAGACTTTGACGGCTCTAGTTTCCTTTTTTCTATAGGTCCTCATTTAGTATGGTCCACAGTGAGTCCTCTCTTTGATAGTTAGCCATAAATATATATATATATATATATATTTTGACCTACACAATCTTGAGTTTTTTTTCGAGACGTTGCTTAACCCATAAGCAGTCGCACGTGGGTAAAAATGACCCAAGCCGTACATTTTGTCAAATATCTTTTTTCGCTTAATCCCTATGGACTTCCGGTTTCATGAATTCCTTAATTATTCTTACCTGCGTCGACCCATACCAATTATGTTAAATTGTAAATGAAGTGATACTTTTTAAATTGGGTGGCGACATCTACGTAGGAATAGTTTAGGCAACGACCATCCACGACGGCTTAAAATTCGGGTCAGAAAGAACAAAGGCGCCGACACGAGCTGTCTCTACTGATTGATGTCTATGCTGTGGCAAAACGTTGAGATGCAACATTTCGTACACGTACGTTTTATGCGGAACAGTGTTGCCAGAGTTAAATGATAAAAATCCGCTACATGTCGCCGAAAATTCCGCTACAGGCCGCTATAGGCAAAAATCACGTCGTCACGTTGATGGGTTGGACGGTTAAAAATTTCGACATTTACACCCGCCACTCAAAATAACATTTTGTATAAATACAATATACAAAGTGTTGTATACTCGAATTTTTGCACCATGCCGCTACGCCGCTCTTTGGTCAAAATTCCGCTACCGGTCGCGGAATTCCGCTAGGTCTGGCAACACTGCTGCGGAACGTTACACAACCACAACATCGTCACAGCAGTGTCGTCGTGCAAGGCCGAGCAAGTGAACGACGAGTGTTTGAAATTTCCAACCGGTGCGAAATTTTGCTCGACGGTATTCATGAGTCATGACACTCATGACTGACTTTCGGTCTAACCACACTTTTATTATTCCCTCCTTTTGCTTTATCAAGTCACTTCGAGAATACTTCTCTTACCCAGATTCTTCTATACTGACCGACAAAAAATTTAACTAGTGATTGCTATTTTATTTAAAGAAAGATTTTGCGAAATATTTCAGGATGGCCGTTTTTTTGTCGGTTTTGTTGTGTGGTTAATATAGTACAGAACAAACATTTCATCATCAACTGAAACATCACCGATATTTTAAAATTTGCTCTGTCACTCGATTCAACTCGATGTCTTTGTATCCGCCATGGAGGTAAAATCACAGGAGGGAGCATTCCGCTTTTAACCAATGTTAAAGAAAATAGTAAAAAGCTCCACGCAAGAGCCGTTTTTGACCCTTTCCGTACTACATCGGAAATAGTCAACAGAGGATCAGAGGCGGTGCACTTTGGATACGAATGGGCTCACATTTTTTTTTGACCTTTACCCATTCATGCCCCTTACCATCAACATCAATTAAATATATATGTACTTAATTACTGCCATTAACGTGCTACGTGTTAATTTTTGTATCGTATCTCCATCAAATGCTTTCGAGCACGCCACTGTAACAACCAGTTTCTCAGACGAGTTAGATGATCCCAGTCGAAAGCGCGGTATCAGGCGCTTTTTCAAACTACCTTCCCTCCTCTTATTCTACCTCCATGGTATCCGCACACAAACCAAAAACTCGATGGCAAACGATCGATAATAAAGATTGAAAACACAACGATCCGCCGGTCCGGTCCGGTACAGAAGGTACAAGAATGAGCGCAAAGTGTTTTTGCTACCGACGAATGCAATTAGTATACTGGGCTCCAAAATATATAGCGTTTATAGCTTTGACTTTTTAAGAATTTTACAGTGGATCCTTCAGAAAACTCGACAGCTACAAACCGCAACACGTGCCACCGTCAGGCAAGCGGATTTATTAGAAGAAAAGAAAACTGACTCCTTTTCCGAAAATGTTGTACCTACATTTTTTGGTGACTGTCTTGTTTTATTCAGATTTAATTGTCTTCGATTCATACTTTCTGGCCATGGAGAAAATACAGTCCGTTCTTTCTGTTACACGGTTAGAATGAAAATTCAATCTACTCGTATCGAATTTTCATTCTAACGTTGTAACAGAATATATTATTACAACAGTTTCAGAACAAGTGGAGCTTAGCGAGGAAATCGCGTAGTTGAAATCCTATCAAACTACTAACGAGGAGATTGCCGATTGGATCTCCCCATGGGACAATGTTTTTATCTAATTTCGCTATGAAACATGGCATATTTCATTACCTTTGACAGTTATGAATTGTCTTTTTTTTACTTCCCGAGCGTAAGCAAAGGAAGTATTGTAATAGAGTCCGTCGGACAACTATCTACTTGTACGTTTTCTCGACGTTTCATGACCCATAGACTACGAAGAAATAGGTGTAGTGTACCGCACATTTCTACCGCATTTGCATTCATATTTTTTCAATTTGCTTATATGCAAAAAATTAATTAATGACTCATGATGATGTTTTGAAATTACTGCAGGCATGGTAAATTTTTAATCAAAATATATCTCTTTGCCCCCCAAAAAATGGATGACGTCATGTGAAAATATGATGAATATATAATTGTGATTTATCATTGCATTAATATTTTTTATTCTATTTTAGAACCATAATCTTATTTATAAGCACCCAAATGCGGGCTTAAATTGGCCTTTTTAGCACAAATCTGTCAAAAATTGCTAAGCAACAATTGATTGTTCATTTACACTAATCAATTAATTATTCAAACACGCTTCGATATTCAACGTTTTTCTTAAGTTGGAAAAATAATACTTTACCAAATCATTACCTGACCGAGTTCAAATTGTTCTAAACTTTCATTTGAATAAAGGTTTTCCGCTTCTTTAATTTACATTTTGAAAAACGAATTATCAAATAATCAACGTGGTATCCATAACAACATCAAAATAATAGCCAGCTATGTATTAAAATTCGCATCGGCACAATTCACACAGTCTTGCCGAAAATACTCAATATTTCGTTAAAAATAGTTTAGAAACTAAAATAGAATAAAACGTTGTATGTACCACGTGCATAATTGTCGATTGTGGCACTCGGGAAATTAAAAGCCCTCCTTCGTCGGGCTTTAAACATTCCCTCGTGCCACAATCTCCCTGATTATGCCCTTAATACATAAATAACTATTAAATTTGCATGAATAGATTAATTTATTTAATGGATTAAATCAAGAACGGCTCACTCCATTTTCCCGAAAATTTGGGGGGGGGGGGGGGGGGGGGGGAATACAATACTGTCATTATTAGTATTACATTGCACCAATCAGCATTACAAAATTTTGTAAAGTAAAATCTTATACGCGTAGCACGCTTCTTTACATTTACTTCAACATTACATTATTTACATATCTTTATTTCAACATATAGGAGTTCTCATAAAAATTATAAACTCTGCAAAATCAAATTTTATAATTTTTCGAAAATGCTGGATATGTTTCATTGTACTTCAGGAATTAGGGAAATTCGGTCGAAACAACTTTCAATTTATTACGCAACTAGTTATGTAACTTTAAATACATAACTCTTACACAATTAGAAATGAAAATCATAGCAATGTTTATTTTTATTGTTTATTGTAATTAAACATTGAACTTGAATTACTGTAGGTGCAATTTGTAAATGTGATCCCTGACCCCACAAGTAGAACTAAAATATTCCAACATTACCTTTCCATTAACAATATTCACTTTCCTTTGTTGACACCTACCAGTCTTCGAAATTTTTATATGCGACTTCATATCTTTCCTCTGACTTAGGGCCGGTTGAATAAACGCAAATCAAATTTAAGCTCTGATTAAGAACAATTGTAACTATGATAATAACAATCGTTACTTTGGAGTTAATCAGAGATTAAATTTGATTTGCGTTTATGCAACCGGCCCTTATAGTATTAAACAACTTAATGCGTAATTAGCACTTTCTTCTGTATCTGAGGGCAATTCAGAGTCTGAATCTGCATCCACTTTCTAGATTGCCTGCAAATAAATCTTTGTTTAAAACAGTTCACAAGATAACTGTCAGTTTTCACTTTTGGTTTTTCAAAAAAATTAATTACTTGTTAATCAAACGAATGCTTGCTACTTTTTTGTCACATAAGTATCAATAATATTAAAAAATTAATTTGTGTACAAATGTGTACAATTCAACAAAATTAGATAAAATTTTGCATATAATAAATAATAATTTAAATGAAAAGAGGTGTTGTTTGACTCTTTTCCAAAAGTCGTTGGATTTGTTAGATTCTACTTCAGGGGCAAGGGAAAGTTCAGGCTAAATAACCTTCGGCCAATTTCTTAGTCTCGAGCGTAAGCGGAGCAAGTATTGGAGCGTAAGTGAAGGAAGTATTGTAATCGAGTCCGTCGGTCGACTCTCTACTATTACGTTTTCTCGACCTTTCATGACCCCTAGAGTACGAAGAAATTGGTCTCCCGTTTCCGTCTGTCTGTCTGTCCGTCCGTCTGTCTGCCGTCTGTCCGGATTTTTATTAAACAGATCATCTCCGAAACTACAGGACCGATTGTTGCCAAATTTTGTATGTATATTAGGTATATCATGTAGATGGTAAAACGCTAACCAAATTTGTCTAATCATCCCCACCAAAAACGTGATTACTTCCCCTCAAAATTTTGTATAATTAATAGGAGTATATCTTATATTTCATAAAATATTATACTCC